TAAGTAGGCTCCACACCCAAATGTGGGTTTGAACTCATAACCCTGAGATCAAGAGTCAGCTCCACCAGTCAAGCCTGCCAGGGACTCCTCTACATCATACTTCTTAACTGCAGTGTTATTCCCTGAGAATAAGGATATCTTTATATAATTATCAAATTCAGGAAACAACACTGAGGCAATATTTTAACCTAATCAACAGTCCATATTGAAGTTTTGCCAATCGTCCCAAAAATGTCCTTTACAGCACTTTCTTTTTGTTTTGGTCCAGGATCCCATACTTCATTTTTTTTTTTTTTTTAATTTTTTTTTCAACATTTATTTATTTTTTGGGACAGAGAGAGACAGAGCATGAACAGGGGAGGGGCAGAGAGAGGGAGACACAGAATCGGAAACAGGCTCCAGGCTCTGAGCCATCAGCCCAGAGCCTGACGCGGGGCTCGAACTCACGGACCGCGAGATCGTGACCTGGCTGAAGTCAGACGCTTAACCGACTGCGCCACCCAGGCGCCCCATGGATCCCATACTTCATTTAGTTGTCAGGTCTCTTGAGTCTCCTTTAATCTGGAATAGTTCCTCAGCCCCTCTGTCCTATATGACACTGACATTTATGAAGAATATAGGCCAGCAGCTTTATGAAGTTCCCCAATGCAGATATTTCCTTTCCTCCTGTATTTCTTGCTCTAAGTGCCAGTGGCCTACCCAGTTCCTCAGGTAGGAGACAAGACACCATCATGGTCTCTCCTTCTCCCTTACTATCATCCAGCCACCACCAGGTCCTAGTGCCCAGCACCCTTGTCTTCCATGCCCACGGCTTCTGCCCCTGTCATTCCTCACCAACCAGCCAGCCTCAGCCACTACTGCCTCACACAGGCTGCCTTCTCAAAGTGTGGTCCAGGATCTGTGGCATCAGGAACTTGATAGAAATGCAGTCTCTTGGTGCCTGGCTGGCTCAGTCGGAAGAGTATGCAACTCTTGATCTCCAGGTTGTGACTTCAAACCCCATGCTGGGTGGAGAGATTACTTAAAAAATAATTTTTTAGTATGTTTTTAAAACTTATTTATTTTTTGAGAGAGAGCAGGGGAGGGGCATCGACAGAGAGGGAGAGAGAGAATCCCAAGCAGGCTCCACAGAGCCTGACATGGGGCCTGAACCCACGAACCATGAGATCTTGACCTGAGCCAATATCAAGAGTTGGACACTACCGACAGAGCCACCTGGGTGCCCCAAAACATAAATTCTTAAAAAAGAAAATACAGAATCTCAAGCCCCATTCCAGGCCTATGGAACCAGAATCTGCATTTTAATGAGTTCCCAGGTCTTTCTTTTGCTAAGTCTGAAAAGTCCTGCTCTCAGAGATCCTGAAACTTACAGACTCATCAGCTTCACATCCAAGATTTTTGGTGTCCTCCCCCCTCCACCATCCCCACCCTCCCAAGCTTGTCCCCTACCTCATCTACATTCATGTAATACGTGCTGTTTCACCCTTCTGTTCCTTCTTCCTGGAATGCCTGGTCTCTGAGATTCCTACTTAAGATCAGGCTTAAACATGACCTCTTCTGAGGAGTGCTTCCTTCCATCCCTCTTAAGCCCTATTTGCTCTAGACCTTTTTCCTAGCCTCTGTTCCATGGAAGTGTCACTCGCATGGGCTCTTGGTCTTGAAGTGACTATTTCCCCACTAGTTGGTGAGTTCCTTGAGCAAAGTCTGCCTGTTATATACCTCCTCATCCTCAGTACCTAGCACAACTGAAATGTTTGTTGAATGAGCACGCAAAAGAAACAGCTCTTCTTCCATGGATGCCCTTCTTCCAAGTAGATCTGAAGTCGGTATTGAGGCATCCAAATACCCAAGTCACAGAATGTTGGGATGAGAGTAGCCACAGTGGAGTATCTACTTCAAGTGCCCTTTGTTAACTATGAGGAAAGGCACCAGGGAGGGAGAAGGGACTTACTGCAGTTTCCTTGGCTGGAGAGGTGTGGCCCATGAGTCATCCCTGACTCCAGCTTTGCCCTTCCTGGAGCCAAGTGCCCCTATGTGGTTTGGTGTGAGAAGCACAGTAGTAAAAGCCAAAGTGAGATGCAGAAGAATGTGCACAAAATGGAGGTATTTATGTAGTTTTAAAACATGAAAAACAATTCTATATCTCTTTGCTAGGGAAACAGTCATGATGCCAGTGGCAACGGTTACTTACCTTGGGGGAAATGAGTGACACTGGACAGTTAACCATTAAGTTCAAACTCACAAGCCCCAAGAATGAGTCATATACTCTGTCAACTGAGCCAGACAGGTGCTCCCGAACTCAATTTTTTATTGGAACTAAGGGATCATGGCTTGCACACAGTTACCCCCCAATTTTTTTTTAGTTTATTTATTTTGAGACAGAGTCAGTGTGAGTGGGGGAGGTGTACAGAGAGGGAGACAGAGAATCCCAAGCAGGCTCTGCACTGTCAGCATGGAGCCTGACACTGGGCTCCATCTCAGGAAATCATGAGATCATGGCCAGAGCCAAAACCAAGAGCCGGACACTCAACTGACTAAGCCACCCAGGCGCTCTTACCTCCAAACTTTATTAGTGAGTTGTCTTACCCAAGATTCTTAGGTAACTAGCTCTCAACTGAACTTTGAAGCAAGGCTCAGAGGACAGGGTGCATCCTAGAAATGGAACACTGGCTGTTACTGGAGCATAAGAGGAACATAGGGTAAAGGCTTGGGTTATATCTTAGCCCCTGGGCTTGAGTTCAAGTTTGATTTTATAGGCAACAAGGAGCCATTAAACTCTCCGGTAAGAATGGGCCTACCTAATTAGACATTTAGCAAGTTGACTGTGGCAATAGGCTAAGCCAAAAGACCAGCTGGCTTTTGCAATAATCCAGAGAAGTATTACCTGCTCAGAGTAAATTTAAAGAGCAAAGTCAGGGAGGAGTGAGGAAGAGAAAATTGGCTCTGAGTAGATGTTGCTGAAGTTGTTGTAAATGGGCAGAAAAGGGTTATTCATGTTTGGAGTTCTCTGTGATTAAAAAAAGCAATAGTAGAAATCATATACACCTACATGACAAGTAAATCAAATCCCAATTATAAGAATGGACACTTGGGATAAACTTTTTCATACCTAAACTAGAAAGTTACTGTCCTCACAAATAATTTGGTTAAGATGTGTTTAAGGAAAACTAGTATATGGTCCAGAAACAAATGTTAAAGAGTTTAAATTATCCTGAAAAATTGAGAAAAAGCAGCATATCCAAATTAACATTTTATATGGGCATTTAATTTTTTGAGGGGGGGCAGGAGAATATCTTTGCACAGAGCCCATGGACTCAATCCCACGACCTCAAGATTACAACCTGAGCAGTTTCAAGAGTTGAATACATAACAGACTGAGCCACCCAGGCACCCCTATATGTGCTTTAAATTTTAAGTTTATTATTTTTTTAATTAATCTCTACACCCAACATGTGGCTCACACTTGTGACCTTGAGATCAAGTCATGTGGTCTGTTGGAGCCAGCCAGGCACCCCTTCCATGTGCTTTTAAATATGTACAGATAATACTCATTACAAGTAGTGATCAGCTATTTCCACTGAAAACCTAAAGTTTACATAGTCTAATTAATCAAAACTTTTGTATCTTCTCACTAGGAATATGGACTGTTGTCTTTGGGAAGGGACTGTAATATGGGATACATTAGACTATAGCCATCCCTTTTTTTTTTAAGTTTACTTATTTTGAGAGAGAATGTGAGAGAGAGCGCGGGGAAGGGGCAGAGAGAGAAGAAAACAATCCTAAACACACTGCACTGTCAGCCAGGGGCCGGATTTGGGGCTCAATCTCATGAACCATGAGATCATGACCTGAGCCAAAACAGAGTTGGATGCTTAACCTACTGAGCCACCCAGGCGTCCCATTTTATTTTCAAATAATTGCTACACCCAAGCTGGGGCTTGAATTTTTAACGAGATTAAGAGTTGCAATCTTAATCTGGAGCGAGATTAAGAGCGCTCCAAGGGCGCTTGGGTGGCTGTCAGTTGGGCATCTGACTTTGGCTGAAGCCATGATCTCACAACTCATGAGTTTGAGTCCTGCTTTGGGCTCTTTGCTGATAGCTCAGAGCCTGGATCCTGTGTCTCCATCTCTTCCTGCTTCTCCCCTACTTGTGCTCTGTCTCTCTCAAAAATAAACATTGGGGGGGGGGGGGGGCCGGGGCAGAGTTGCATGCTCCACTGAGCCAGCCAGGCGCCACTCTCGTCTGACATAAACAGGCTAATACTGGAGATCAGGATTATAGGAGACTTCCTTTCTTCGTGCATGGTCTTACAATTCTAAAAAATGTCTGGAATAATGTCTATTATAGCTGCAAAAGAAGGGATTCAAGGTCTAAATGAAGCTTAACTTGGAGGTGGGACCAAGGGTAAATCTTTTAGGTTTTAGCATTTACCACATGTTTAGGGAAGATCTGAAGTATACGTAAAAGGAACAGAAGTTATTTTCCATGCAGAGTGTACTCTGCTTTATTAATAGACTTTTGCTCCTGCTGCCATCCAGTCTGGCCAGTAGCCCCCAGCATCAATCACACCTCCAAGTCTCTCTGGTGGTTGTGTGGGCCCATGACTTGCCAACACCTGTCCTACTTCCTTCTGCAGTATCCTCTCCTTCAGAGCACAACTGAAACTCCTGTCTTTAGCATCCTTCCTTTGCACTGTTGCTTCATCCGTTTGAGTTCACAGATCTTGGAAAGAAAGGTTAGTGGTTCAGGCAAGCTTTGTATGTGCTGTGCCTTTCATCTTGCAAATCAATCTGAATGACAAGTTTTTGGAGTCAGGGTAGCAACTAGAGATCATTCTGGCCATCTCTGAAATCATGGCACATGGGAGTCCTTTGGCCTCTTGAGGAAATATGGCTGCTCCCCCCCACCCCCGCCCCCACTGGTTTTAGTCAAGTATGGTCCCAGAACCTTGAAGGGAATCGCAATTCTCTTTAAATCCATCAAGAACTACGTAGAGAACATGGGTTCAGGATTGTTTTTATTTTCAGAGCCTGCGACAGTTGGTCAGCAATGCTAGCTAAGCTGGTACAATCTGAAGGCCATCCCACCTCCTTTTCTAGGCATTCAACCAACAGAATCCCTATAAACAAGATTAGAGACCAACTGAGATGTGTCTCAATGTGAGAGGGGGAAGAGGCCTTCCTCTCTCCTCCTGTTCCCCTCCTCCCCACTTACTTTTTCTAACAAGATTGTTTTATAGCCAAATACAACTCAAACCCAGAAGAGCAACCAGCCGTCTCCATTATGACTGCTTCCCTCCCCACTTCCAGAGCAGGAAGTGAAGAGGGGAGACTGGCACTTGTGTGTAAGAAAAACCTGGCTATGCCCCAACAGAGCAGAGATGGTGAGGAGGCTGGTGTCTGTGGGTGGGCATATGCAGGAACCAAATAGGCGTGTCCAGCATCAACCAACTCAGCTCCAGCTCCTTGGATAGGAGGTGTTCCTTTGAGACCCCCATTTCCATGGGGTTAGATGAGGGGGCAACGAGTGATGAGTCATCACTCCCTGTCCCTCAAATTCAAACATGATAAACTCAAAGTTTCACCTTAAAATCCACCACGCTGCCTCCTGAGAGACACATTCTATATGGTCATCTGCATGCCAGCACCCACATCCCTCTCCTAATGCGCAGGGCTTCCAGCCCATCTCTTCATCCTTGGGTGGCCCAGCCAACACTGATTTGATACTCCTTGACTCATAAAATGACTATTTTTAGAAAATTAAAAGCTATTCAAGAGTATCAGTAATAGAAGACACTCGGTGTACGCTCCCGTCCCCCATCCCAGAGCCCCCCCACCCTGCCGCCCCTAGTCTAGGACACCTACACTACCATGTTCCAACACTGACCTGGGGGTGGCCCCATGGAAGCTGCCTGAAGTGCTTTCCTGTGACTCTTATACCAGCCAATGTCACAGGGAACTGGGGTGAGGAAGAACACGGTGCCCCCCCCCCCCCGCCCCCACCCATAGATCTCAGTGGCCTTCGAGGTAGGTCTGGGAGGTTTAGCTTATGTCCTATGGCCAAGTCCGAGTCCAGTGCCTGCTCCCACCAGCGCCTCAGTCCTTGGCTTTAAATAGCAGCAGCCCCAGTTCCACAGTGCCTCCTGGGGTGACAGAGCTCCTACTTCTGTCCCTCAACACAAGTTTGCCTCTTCTCCCCCATCTTTTTTTTTTTTTTTTTTTAAAGCAGAGGTAGTCCCTGGGATGATAAAACCCTACCTAGAATGGCAGTATTGTGACTTAAAGAAGCAGTTAAGTAAAAGTCTCCAGGAGTTAAAAAAAAAAAAAAAAAAAAAAAAAAAATTAAAGTGATTGACGAAGTTGAATAAATTAAAGATACGGGTTATCCCACAGAGACCACCCCCCTTCCCAGGCTGTCTTTGGTATTTGGCCAGCAGCATTTCCACTCGCGTTCCTTCTCCTTCTCCTACCCCTCCTCTCACGAGAGAGGACAGTGCCCAATAAGGCCCCAGGTCGTTCGTCCAACGGTGGGGGGGAGGAGTCAGAACTTCTTGGCTTGGTGCTTGGAACTGTGCTGTATGGCGAGTGACAGCCTTGGCAAACAGTCCTGAGGCAGTGAACGTCTTACGGGGACAGAAGAGGCGCTGCCAGCAGGAACCCTGGGAGCGCGGGACCGGGTGAGGCGTGCAAGCCCCAGGCCCTTTCTCCACACTTGTTGGCCCCTTTGCTCAAGTTTCTCTGCAGCAAAGAGGGAAGAGGTGGCGTGGAGGGGAGGCTCTGGCTGCCGCGGTCTGGCCCCGCCACCCTCACAGCTTCTTCAGACGGCTGTACATCTCCCGTTTGCTCTTTTCCCCCGCCCAGGTCCGGCTCTTGGTGCGGAACTTCTTCAGGTCTTCTTTGAAGTCCTCATGGTGCATGGGCCGGTAGCTGGGGGGCTCACAGTGAGACTGCAGACAAGAGAGGATGATCAGGGGGTGCCTGTCTCATGCTGTTAAGTCAGCTCCCCGCATCTGTGCAGCAGCTTCTAGGGCCCGTGTCGTTGTGCGCAGCAAATCCCCAGATCCCGGGCGAGAAACAGCCATGACGACCAGACAGACCCAGCTGTCCAACCTGGGTAAGGGGTGGACCGTGCTCTCCAGGGACCTCAGCTTACCTGGCATTTCAGGAAGAACTCCTTGTACCCGCCCTTCAGGACATACAGCTCAGGGTAGTGGAGTTTGGGGTACTCGTTACCAAGCCGATCTCTCTCCCTCACGTACCGGCACCTATCGAGAAGGAAGGCCACGGCAGGGTTAGCTCTTCTGATACAGAGACAACAGACGTGAGACAACAGCACAGTGACAGCAGCAGTGCGGTAGGACTCCTTACACACGTCTTCCCAACTTCACGTTCATTCTTGGAAACAATCAGTGTTGAGCTGTGAGCTACTGGCCACGTGTGATCGTTAAGATTTCACGGGTGGTGGAAGGTAGACGGTCTCTCCCCAGCTGCCCTTTCTCCAAGTGAAACAGACCTACTGCCCAGCTCTCATTCCAGTGTCCTCCCCGCCACCACCTGCACTTCCTGTGCAGTGACAGCACCTGAGCCAGCTTCCCACTGCATTCTCCACTCTTGCCACACCCCCAGACAACTTGCCCAGGGCCCCTTCCTCAACTCCCATCTCAGCTGGTGGCTTTTTTCCTATAGCTTTTAAATAGGCTGCGCTTGCTCTGTCTCAGGACACCTGCTTGCACCCTATACTCTTCCCCAATACCCTCGCATGGCCAGTGGCTCCTTCCCACCCACCCCTTGTACCCTGTCCCTGCTGCTCTCCCCTCTCTCCACTCCGCCTGCTTACTTTGGCCCCAGGGCTGTTCCTCCAACCTGCCCTGGAGCGCCCACTTCTCATCATGTCTCTGAAGTACCTCTAACACATGGAGTAGCTGACAGACATATTTGCCTCCCGCTCCCTCTGAAATGCAAGCTCCCTGAAGGCAGGGTTTTTTGTTCTCCAACATTTTGCTGTTCTCCCCAGTAACCAGAACACTAACCAGCACACGAGAGGCAATAGTTAGTATCTGTAGAGTGAATAATCCCACTTGTGAAGGAACATCAGTGCTCACTCAAATCCCACTTCTTGTGACCACGGTTTTGTGCTAAACGCAAGACAAGTCCTTGTCCTTAGGAGGTAGATGGGGAGATGGTCATGTAAGCCAAGTTCCTGGTGTAGTTGTTTATGTGTGGTTGTATGTGTACTAATGTGGCACAACATTAGCCACTGGGAAAATCAGGTGAAGCACGTGCAGAAAAATGGCCTGACTTTTGAACCAGTTCAAAATAAAAAGACTGCACAAGAACCCAGGCCTGTGGGCTGGCAAGAAGTCTACCTTGGCCCATCCTAGTCAAGGCTGCAGTCGCCATGCCCCAGCCCCCACCCCCTCTCTGGCTGTCCCTGTCTGTCCTTCCAGTAGGACGATGCTAGCCTCAGAGACAAGGTTGGGCCGAATGAGGCCAAAAGCCCTTGGCAACCGCCAGGTCAAGCCTAAAAAGCCACACTCAAGAAAGCTGTTCATCAAATCAACAAACTGCCCAATAGGTAAGAATGTGGGAAAACATTTGCTACACATGAATTTGAACTTTTAAAAAACTGAACATTTACGTATCATGTGTGTAGGCTGAGGCATGGAAATGACTTGGGACGTGCGAGAAGGCCCTTGGTGTGAAGTATGCCGCCAGTGTGAGCCATCCACTGCCTCATCCCACAAAAGCACTGTGGGCCCGTGCCCCAGAGCCCAGTTCCATGCAGCACTCACATGCGAGGGCCTCGCTCGGAAGAGAACTCGCAGTGGAACACGACAATGACACGCTTGCCGTCAGTAGGAACGATGGGCTTCTTGAGCAAGAAGTCTTCTACCTCCTCTTCCATGTGCAAGTTTACTGCACCCTGTGAAGAAGGCATAGAGATTCTTGGCACCTGCGTGTATCATACTTGCCGGATTGATTCTGTGACAGTCATCTGTAATTGGGACCCTAGAATTCTGTTATGACTATGGTGGGCTTGAGAAAGATTTATGAATTTGGGACTTTCAAAAGCCATTAAGACAGTGACAAACACTACTGTTGTATTAATGTACCCCATTACTAGATTTCAACACTAGATTATTGGTTAAAAGATTAAATTGGCATAACCAGTTAACTTCTTCCCTGGAAAGTGTGTCCCAACACCCGCCCTCCACCAGGCAGCTTAATTCAACTACAAACTGAGAGGCATTGCTAAGCCCGGCATAGACTGGGACATGTCACCAGAGGCTGGCTTCTGGTCAAAAGCCCTTTGGTGCTTAGGCCTGACTTAGAAATCAGTGGTACCACCTACAAATGCCTGTGATGGTGAAGGTGTAAGACACAGAACAGAGAGCATTTACTGTACAAGGTAGTGGAGAGTAGTCCAGGCCAGGGAATATTCTCCAGTGCACCAGGAGTCAAGGCTGCTTGAAAACGTCCTCAGAACCAGCACATTAGCCAGTAAGCTTCTAGGTGTCATGTCACCACCCCACTTTTATTTATTTATTTATTTAAAAAAAAATTTTTTTTAACGTTTATTTATTTTTGAGACAGAGAGAGACAGAGCATGAACAGGGGAAGAGCAGAGAGAGAGGGAGACACAGAATCGGAAGCAGGCTCCAGGCTCTGAGCCATCAGCCCAGAGCCCGACGCGGGGCTCGAACCCACGGACCGCGAGATCATGACCTGAGCTGAAGTCGGACGCTTAACCGACTGAGCCACCCAGGTGCCCCACCACCCCACTTTTAAAATCACAGATCCTGTCAGGGCTCCTTCTATGCCTCCCATGATAGCAGGGCTCACCAGTAAGCCTCAGGAACCCATACCTTGATGTGGCCTCCCTCATATTCATACGGATACCGGCAGTCAATGATAACAAATTCTTTAATGAGGTTGGCAAACTTGCCATTCAAAACAGATGCCATCTGTGGGGAGAAAGCCCAGGAGAATCAACTTTGGCTGCCAGGAACAGCTAGATTCAAATACTTCATGGGTGACAGGATCCAAAAAGGGGACTTACAATTTCTGGAGAGATGTATTTTAAATCCTGATGCTTCCCAGCAACCGTATGAAAGAGATAACCCTTAAAAAGAGAGAGAGAGAGAGAGATACTTAGCAAATCTGAAAGCCTATAAATGCAACATTTATATTGCTTGCCTGCCTGATAAGAGGCAGCTTTATAAACAAACCTTAATCTAATAGTATAGGCAAGTTACTCATCTAGGCACTTCATTAACATCCTGACATTTCATTTTCAAACACACCTACAAGGTGTATTATCCTCACTGTCAAATGTAAAGCCGAGCCAATATGTAAAGCTGGCTTTACTACTAGCTAGTAAGCCAAACGTAAATACAGAAATCTCAGGTAATTTCCTTCCTCCCTGCTTTTGTCAGGAACCTTCATCTCCATAGCCAACTGTGAGGAACATGGTGTTGGGCACTGGAAATGGGAAAAATAGGAGACCTGGCCTGGCCTTGAGGGGAAAGATGGGCACATCAGCAATTACTCACTAGGCAAGTGGCTGAACCAAGAGCTCACCCATCCCCATGGCCATATGCAAGGTCATTATGACAAACATAACCAACAGCTTCAATTCAAGTGGAAGGTTCCACCAATGAGGACACACCCAGTCTTTGCTTACTCTTCCTTTCAGATTAGAACTATCTCCTATTTTTGACCCCCTATGTGTCCCTATTCCTTCAACACTCACCTGGCTGAAATATGAAATATGGCCCAGACTCATACCTTCCCTAGTCTTCTAGACGAGACAACCTCCCTTTATTTCTCCAAGGCTGCTTGCATTGCACGGACATGCACTTCAATTTCCCGTGTCGTATGTGGCACAGCAGGTCTTACTGACCACATGGGAAGTTGTGTGAGGGAAGGAACTGGGTCTCATTTTGGAATCTTTACCTAACACATAACATCAAGTGCTTCAACAAATGTTAGCTAAACTAATGAGTAAGAAATTGATCGGGTAGCCTTTACATCTTCTGTGGCTTAGCAAGCTGCTGACATGTTCTCTGTTCCACCCTCATGTTTCACCACAGCTCAAAGGCAGCCAACTCATTTACACAGCAAATTCATACATATCAGGCCATCAGCAGATCTTCCTCCCTACTTCCCCGGGGGCCTTCTCCCTCAAAGGCTATGCTTCTTTGGACAATGGAGAAATTCAGTCTCAACCTTGGACCTTTTAAGATAACCTTTTGATATACAGACGTGTAGTGTGGCTATAGGTTTATTCCTGCTTCTTTGTACTTTGCTGCACGACTATTTTTATAATCAGAAACACAGTTCCCAAAGAGCCTGGCCTTTGGGTTGGAGTCCAGGTGGCTGGTAGGTGGCTTCCTACTTCCTCTGATCAGTACCAGTAAGGTCTATAGTCCCACAGAGACCAAGATACATCTGATCATGTGTTTGTTTCTTATCTTTAAAAATTTCAAACTGTGTCTCTTGGGGGACACTGTAAGAGCCACCCAAGAGAGGAGAAAGACTGAGGGGGTGGGGGGGAATTCTAGGAAACAACCCAAAGCCTAAATCACATAACCAGAGCAGCTCTCCTTGCATCTGCCTAGAATTACCTTGGAGAAGTCTCCTATAAGGTCCCTTGGGTCATTATCCAAAATGTTCTCAATGGTCCCTTTTGGGGAAGATGCCAGGGATAAAGACTGATGTAGAATCTGTAACAAATCAAAGGTGGAAAATGAGGCCAGGGTTCTGAATAGGACTTCTAAAACCTTTCACCTAGAACATGTCACTGGGAGGAGGGTGACATGTACATGTCTATATTTAGCAAATAAAATATTTTTCTTATTTGATTGAATCTGGACTAAAAAAAGGGAGCATGGGTCACTGACTTAGGTCTCCTATTATTTCAGTGTCTAACTGAAGTGCTCTGAAATTAAGTTTTTCTTCTTCCCCACCTTTTTAAAAAGGGGAATTAAAATTAAGACTAAATCTAAAATAAATTTCTTAGCTCTATCCACTGAGAAGCTCTAGACGTGCAATGAACATTCCTACAGGACACTATGGTCTCCAAATACTATTTTCCACTAAAAGAAACCAGGGCTTGGGGGTGCCTGGATGTCTCAGTTGGTAGAGTATGCCACTCTTAAAAAATTTCTTTTTCTTTAACATTTATTTTTGAGAGACAGAGAGACAAAGCACAAGCAGGTAAGGGGCAGAGAGAAAGGGAGACATAGAATCTGAAGCAGGCTCCAAGCTATGAGCTGTCAGCACAGAGCCCGATGTGGGGCTCAAACCCATGAACCACGAGATCAAAGTCAGACGTTTAACCGACTGAGCCACCCAGGCGCCCTTAGAGTATGCCACTCTTGATCTTGGGGTTGTAAGTTCAAGCCCCATGTTGGGTGTAGATATTACTTAAAAAAGGTGAGGGGGAGAGGGAAAAAAGAGGCACCAAACATAAATAAAAAAGACTGATTAATTGAAATACATTTAAAAATCAAGAAATTCTTTTCATCAAAAGAACAGTATTAAGAGAAAAGGCAGGCGGGCACTGGAGTGGCTCAGTTGGTTAAGCTATGGACTTCGGCTCAGGTCATGATTTCACGGTTTGGGAATTCAAGCCCTACATTGGGCTCCATGCTGACAGCATGAAGCTTATTTGGGATTCTCTCTCTCCCTCTCCCCTGCTCCTGCTTGCTCACTTTCTCTAAATGTACAAATAAATACATTCTTTTTATTCCTGAATATTGACAGGTATATAAACCAGAAGCTTTCTGGAAGGCAATTTGCTAGCATGTATAAAATGCAAAGTTCCATAAATGTTCCTGCGCTTTAACCTAGAATTCTACTTTTTTTTTAAAAAAGAGTTTATTTTTAAAGAGACAGAGTGCAAGCAGGGGAGAGGGGCAGAAGGGGGGGGGGGGGAGAGAGAGAGAGAGAGAGAAAGAATCTTAAGCAGACTCCACACTCAGTATGGATCCCCATGCAGGGCTTGACCCTGGGATCATGACCTGAGCCAAAATCAAAAGTTGGACACTGAACAAACTGAGCCACCCAGGCATCCCAAATTCCACTTTTAATTAGAAAAAGTAAAATGTTCATCAAGTATTAGGTAACTAAGGCAGATTATAAAATGTAAGATGCCAGCCCTAGGTATTTCCATGGCTGTCATCTAGTAGACCTTTTAAGAGTAGTGTTTATTCAAACCTTTTCATGCTGCAGAAAACATGGGCAATTCTCCAGGTTATTTTACAATGTTTAATATCAAACCTCAATACCAAAACCTGATATAAGGATAGTATAATGAAGGAAAACTACACATACATAAAAGCAATTCTATTTTTTTTTTTTTAACGTTTTTTTATTTTTTTGGGACAGAGAGAGACAGAGCATGAACGGGGGAGGGGCAGAGAGAGAGGGAGACACAGAATCAGAAACAGGGTCCAGGCTCTGAGCCATCAGCCCAGAGCCCGACGCGGGGCTCGAACTCACAGACCGCGAGATCGTGACCTGGCTGAAGTCGGACGCTTAACCGACTGCGCCACCCAGGCGCCCCATAAAAGCAATTCTAAATAAGCCAAACATGACATTTCATGAAGCAAGAATAGTTTTAAAATCAGGAAAACTATGAATACAAGCCAAAATATATAAACAAGTTAATAAAAATGGAGCAATCATGGGCGTGCCTGGGTGGCTCAGTCAGCTGAGCATCTGACTCTTGGTTTCTGAGACTGAGCCCTGAGGCTCAGTGCTGACTGCCTGGAGCCTGCTTGGGATTCTCTCTCTTTCTCAGTCCCCCCCTCACTTGCGCAAGTGTGTGCATGCTCACTCTCTCCCTCTCAAAAAAATGCTCTGGGGCGCCTAGGGGACTCAGCTGGTTAAGTGCCCAGCTCTTTGATTTTGGCTCAGGTCATGATCTCGTGGTTGGTGGGTTCAAGCCCATATCACACTCCATGCTGACAGTGCAGAGCCTGCTTAGGATTCTCTCTCTTCCTCTCTCACTGCCCTTCCCCTGCTGGTGCTCTCTCTCTCTCTCTCTCTCTCAAGATAAAACTTTAAAATGAATGAATGAATGTCCCAAGTGCTTTAAAAATAAATAAAAATAATTACATTTGTGTACTCACCTACAGGGAAGTTCATGATATATTAGTAAAGCTCCAAAATAACATGAAAGCAAACCATAACTATGAGCAATTGACTTGAGTAGAGATGATGAAAGTTTTATAAAAACTAAAGTTTTACTAGGTCATGATAAGTCTGAATTAAAAGAAAGGAATTCAAATATTTAGAGATACAGTAAAAAACACTACAGGGGCACCTGGATGGCTCAGTCGGTTAAGGTTCCAACTTCAGCTTAGTTCATGATCTTTACGGCTTGTGAGTTTGAGCCCTGCATAGGGCTGGCTCTATGCTGATAGCTCAGAGCCTGGAGCCTGCTTCAGATTCTGTGTCTCCCCCTCTCTGCCTCTCCCCCACTTACACTCTGTCTCTCTCTCCTTCAAAATAAATAAGCATTAAACAATGAAAAACAGTACAAAGTTGTGAGACAAACATAAGTAGTAGAAAATGTATAGTTCCAAGCAGATCAGGAGATGGCAGCAGCAAGCCCAAAGAAACAAGAAGCCTTTAGGAAAACCTGTTCTCCTTAGCCAAAGGACTAGAAAGAGGGCAGCCTATCAAGACAGAAAACATTTTACTTTTAAAAATGTTTACCTGTTTTTTATTTATTTTTGCAAGAAGGAGAGAAGGAAAGGGAAAGAGAGCACAAGGCAGAGAGAGAAGAAAAGGATCCGAAGCAGAATCTGTGCTCAGGGCAGGGAGCCCAATGTGGGGCTCGAACTCACGAACTGTGAGATCATGACCTGAGCCAAAGTCGCATGCTTAACCGACTGAGCCACTCAGGCGCCCCTAGACAGAAAACTTTTAGACTACTGTAGCCAAACACCAAAGAAAAAATGATGGCCCTACACCATGCCTGGTCAGCAAGTGGGGAGCTTAGACTTGCAACTCTTGCCCAGCTGTAATTAAGTGCCCCACCTCCACTCCACTGGGGTGGTCTATTGGGGAACCTGAACTCCCACTCCTGCCCACAATAACGAGGCCACCCTATGTGTCAAGGGAAGCTGTGCTAGGGAACATGAACTTCTACTCCTATCATCCCCACAGTATCAGAGTCCCGCTAAAACAGAAAATTTACATAGACCAGTCTTACAATACCCAAAATATACAGGATACAACTGAAAAGTCATTCGTCATACGGAGAGCCAGGAAAATCTCAACTTGAATAGGAAAAGATAATCAACAGAAGCCAACACCACAACACAGATGTTGGAATAATCTGACAAGGATTTTAAAGCAGCTGTCATAAAAATGCTTCAACAGCCAATTAGCAACCTGCTTGCAATAAACGGAAAATTCGAAGTCTTGGCAAAGAAAAAGAGCCAAATGGAAATTTCAGAATTGAAAAATTCAGTATCACTGTCCTTGAGCAAAAAGGCACCTGCAAAACTAACCTCCTGGGGCTTCTCTGGACTAGCTGCTTCTTCAGGACTGGCCGCAGCCATGCTCTTTCTCCGCTTTGTATTTCCAGATGGGTACTCCTCTTGAGATCGTTCTGGTCTTTTTAACACCGACCGGGTGACAGAGCTACATGTGGAAGAAGAGTCAAACAGCTTGCATCGATTGCCCTAGTGGGGGAAAAAAAGAGACCCATCTTCCATTAAAACCCGCTCACTTGAATGGTAAAGAGAATGGGCCAAGGGCTTTCTGGGATGGTTTAAAATCCACCCTAAATTAGGTAACAGACACTGTCCATTCATCTAGTCCCAGCACTCTTGTAGGGCCTAGCACATACTAGACATTGAATACCTGGTGCTCAATGAATACGAACTGAGTTGACATCATATGGAGAGGAGGAAGACAATCCATGCCCTTTTTCTAAAGCTCACTGTCTACAAAGGGTCCTAAGAGTCACATAACTATCACCTTTCAGTTGGGAACACCTTTTGATTTGCCTCTTCCCCTCTATTTTATTACTTGCACCTTTTTTGGTTTTTTATTTTTAAAGTTAGAGAGAGAGAGAGAGAGAGAGAGAGAGAATCCCAAGTAGGTTTCATGAAATCATGACCTGAGCTGAAATCAAGAGGATGCTTATCAACTCAGCCACCCAGGTGCCCCAGCAGTCAACAGGTTTTAATACCCCACCTAAATCCAGAAAAGGTGTGAGGTAGTTAGACTATGCTAGAAAACAGAGTCAATAAGGTGTTAAAATAGTGCTAAGGGTATAAATCTGTAGGGAGCAGGGGTGCACAGAGGAGCAAGTGCCCTCAAAATTGTGTTCAAAAGTCCTTTCCACTTGGTCTAAGACTAATTTCCCAGAATCCAAGGGCAGCCAATCTGACCAACAGTAGGGATAGTCTAAACTTATCTGTAGGTTCATGACTCAGTGTGCCTTGGCCCAGCTTTTCCTTCCATGCAGAATCTCTTTATGCCCCAGTAAGCCGCTCCTTTCCAAGATGATACTAAAATTTCAATGACGCTTCTTTGAAATGTTCTGGTCAATAATCTGCAGCAGAGTGTGCCACTCCCATGCCAGCTCTCTCGGAGACCAAGGATTTTCTCCTAACTTTGCTGAAGTCTATTTTAAAGGGATATTTTCAGAAAAGCAAGACCAGAGATTTTCTTTTCAATGTTTATTTTTGAGAGACAGAGACTGAGCATGAGTTGGGGAGGGGCAGAGAGAGAGGGAAACACAGAATCCACAGGCTCCAGGCTCTGAGCTGTCAGCACAGAGTCTGATGCAGGGCTTGAACTCACAAGCCGTGAAATACTGACCTGAGCTAAAGTTGGACACTTAACCAACCAAGCCACCCAAGCACCGCCAGAGTTTTTAAAGTTCATTTTGTAAAATAGAGTGCAAGTGGGGGAGGAGCAGAGACAGGAGAGAGAGAGAATCCAAACCAGGTCCCACGCTATCATCACAGAGCCTGACGTGGGGCTCGATCCCATGAACCATGAAATCATGACCTGAGCCAAAAAAATCAAGTCGGATGCTGCTCAACTGACTGAGCCACCCAAGCACCGCCAGACATTATTTATTTACTTTTACATTTTTATTTAGTTTTAAGAGAAAGAGAGAGACAGAGTACAAGTGGGGGGAGGGGCAGAGAGAGAATGAGACACAGAATCCGAAGCAGGCTCCAGGCTCTGAGCTGTCAGCACAGAGTCCGATGCGGGGCTTGAACTCACGAACGGTGAGATCATGACCTGAGCCCAAGTTGGACGCTTAACCGACTGAGCCACTCAGGCGTCCCAGAGATTTTTTTTTTTTAACCTAGAAGAGCTGGGAGCATTTTGGGGAAGAGAATCCACTGCTTTCAACAGAGTCTCAAAGGAAATTGTGAACTCATCCAGGGCGGACACCACGATTCCAATATAGCTCCAGCAACTGTGAGTCTGCAGTAACTGTTTGTGTTATGCTAGATGATACGGATGATATGGAATATAAATGAGAAAGACCTAAAAAAACCCCAAAAAACAAAACAAAACACCTCAGGGCACCTGGGTTGCTCAGGGGTTAAGTATCTGACTCATGATTTCAGTTCAGATCATGATCTCGGGGTCCTGGGTTGAGCCTTGTGTTAGGGCCCATGCTGGGCGTGGAGCCTACTTAATATATATATCCCCCAACCCCCAACTCTCTCTCTGAAAGAAAGAAAGAAAGAAAGAAAGAAAGAAAGAAAGAAAGAAAGAAAGAAAGAAAAGCCTTTATAAAGATATTTAAAAAGATACTTGAAAAGTCTTTTTCATTCAAACTACCTGGATGTTAGAGCTAGAAACAAATGTGGTCTCTCCTCCTAATCAACACTCATTTTACAAATTGGGAAACATACAGATAAACAAAAATGCATCACTCAAGGTCTCCATTTGTGGGTAGCTCAGGTGGGGTCTAAACCCCAGATCCCTAAGTCCTATCATTCCCTTTGACCTATGGCTGTACTCACGTAAGGTAGCATGATTGAGGGCACATCTATACCAAACCAAATGCTATGGAGAAGACAGGAGACAGCAGATTCCATACCCCCCGGGTGCTTAAACACACAGAGAAACACCCAACAAAGCAAGGAATAATTTTAAGACTGTCTCTCACACTGAAAACTTTGGTGTCATTCTCATGACTTCTCCTTTACCACTACTGCACCTAAATACCACCCATTCCTAATTTGCAAAGATTTGTTCAATCTGTTCCTTCCTCTCCCCATGATTCAGAGAAAGTCTTCAGCATTTTGTTGAATAATCACAACAGGCTCCTAAAGCACCCTGTTTGTGGGGCACCTGGGTAGCTCAGTCGGTTAAGCGTCTGACTTCGGCTCAGGTCATGATCTCATGGTTCGTGGGTTCAAGCCCTGCACCAGCTCTGTGCTGACAGCTCAGAGCCTGGAGCCTGCTTCGGATTCTGTGTCTCCCTCTCTCTCTGCTCCTCCCCCACTCATGCTCTCTCTCAAAAATAAATAAACATTAAAAAAAAAAAAATAATAAAGCACCCTGTTTGTAACTGACCCCTCCTCCCTTCTGGTTAACAGAGTCACGCTCGAAGAATTCTAGCATTCCTGAGGAAATCCAGCCACATCCCTGACTGGTAGACAACCTCGAGACCAGCCCACGACATGTGCCCCATTCTCCAGCTTCACAGGGCTACGTGCTACTGCCACAGGTGAACTGCTCTTTCAAGAATCAACACACCCTGCTGACAAGTTCCCACACACTCTGAGACCCTGGGCAAACAGGTCCCCTCTGGGGGCTCACCCTTCGACCTGCTCATGGCACACAGGTGGTTGCTCAGTGTATGGCTCTTTCCAGGGTGAGGGACATTCCTGCCCTGGAAGCGTCCACAGTGCCCACCCATTCAATGGGATACATATGGCCACGTGCATGAATTCAACAAGGCCACACACACAGGGTAAGCTGTTGTCCGCCACACCACTGGGTGGCTTCATAACTCCACCGCTATCCCACGATCGAGACGTGGAAAAAGAACCCACTCCTTGCTGCCTTACTCCCTGAAAGTGTGAAGTTTTAATATGCAGGCTGAGTTAAACAGAGGTGTAACTGAGGATGACACCGGGGACAAACCCTATTTAGGACAAGACAATGACATACGGGCTATAAAAATGGCTAATTAAGGACACTACTAGAAGGGAAGTCTCCATGTTAAAGCACAGTCTGAGAGTTCATCTACTGACCCCTCGAATTCCTGGCTGAAGCAAGGTGGCCACGGCAAGCTGCCTGCCCCCTCTCAAATCCAGACCGCCTCTCAGAGCAGGTCAAACCGTGAGGGCCAGAGGAGGGCTCAGCTTTGCAAAGATATGAAGCACTGGCCACTTTAGGACCCCGCAACAATGAAGTGGACATCCAAGGATATGCTTAGATCAGTAACAGTTGTAACCAAATGCCTGGCTGGGTCAAAGGCAATTCTAACTTAAGCTACGCGAGAGAAACCCAAATATCTGTCCTAAATATGAGCTGTGGGGAAGTATACACAGAAGAAACGAAAAAACATAAAAATTATATAAAGCTTCAATTATCTATAGGTAATATTCTCAACACCTTTAAGTTCCAAAATAATCCTAAACTCTATGTGGAAAATACCTGAGGTAAAACAGAATCTTTGAGCAGGAAACAGAAAAAGTACTGTTTCGAATGTTTGCCAGACTTCATGCAAATGTTGAAAAGTGTGGACAAAACAAAAGGCTGAGAAAAATGAGAGCCAGAGACTCCATGACAGGGGACAGCCAGCTCCCCCATCTTGCAAACAGGAGCTCTGAGGACCTAAGAGTGCCCACGTAGATGTGTTCAATAGCTCCTGAGGGAGATGCTGTGTTTTGAGGCTAACCACAGCCCCGGCCTGTGGACTCTGCCTCATTCAGGGCCAACCCCCAGACTACCGTACCTGCACTGCACCCACAGCTTAGACCGCCAAAGTGCCATCAATCACTGTCACTTGTGAGGAACCTCAAGCTGCTATTTATTTGTCCTCTGCAACATCCCACCCTGGATGACCCCCTGGCCTTCCCTTTCCACACTGACCTCCCCATACCTTAACTGTGGCTCAAAAACGAACAGCTACAGGAACCTCACTAGCTCCTACAGTGGCCATCTCACAGCCCCCCTAGCTTCAGATTCTCTGTCTCCCCCTCTCCTCTCTGCCCCTCCCCCGCTCCTGCTTGGTCGGTCTCTCTCTCTCTCTCTCTCTCAAAAACAAACATTAAAAAAAAAATAATGGAACCCCTTAAATTCAGTTTAGCAGATATTTTCCTGGGATCTTAAACTAGAAGTTAAGAGTGGTCACAGCTACAGCAAGAACATTAATTTGATCAAGAATAGCTGGGATGAACTACAAAGTATAAAAACAAGAACTACATGCATATATGTATTAGCCAGACTTCCTCACACACCAATGAGGACCAAAAATACTCGAAGAAACATTGTGCTTTACACCAGAGAACACTAGGGGCTGGTCAAGAGAAAGGTCCACAGACCCAAAGACTGAATCTCAAATGAAACTACTTTTGATTCCTGTGGTGAAGTGGGTAGAAGGATTAGTTTCCATTTAGTCTAGTCGACTCTGTCCGAGGCCTAATTACTCCAGGCTTCCAGGCTCTCTCTGGACACACCAGAACAACTTACAAGGTTTGTAGTTCTTCTCATGACAAGGGGAGCAGTCCAGAGGCTTGCCATGCATGATGGGGTCTCTTCATCATTCTAAAGAAAGAGAAACACTTAAAAGATTCAGTAGAGACTAAGTTTGAATGCTTTAGGTATGATTCTGCCTGAGGAGTATCAGACTCGCCCATAGGAAGCATCTAATGTTCGCTCCTCTTTCCCACTCCCCAATATGTTAAGATCAGAAGAGAATCACATTTCACAAGTCAGACATCTGAACGTAGCTAAAAGCATCCCGCTACCCTGAGGGTACTGAGGAGGTAGGCTGTCCCTCTGGCTTGTCCTACACTGTTCTTGTTCCATGTCTCTTGACAAAATAACTGTCACCTTCTTCAGGGTAAGAAGGAGCCTATCACTCTCTTCTTTTGAAGAACCCTGTCCCCCCTCAGATTTAATTAGACTAGGAGCAGAGTCTCAATAAATCCCCACCAAATGAACAAAAATATCAGCCAGCTCAAGCCCTGGGGAATTGCTGTTGTTTTTCACATCACTTTTCCCGAGTACTTAGTGGAACGGGTAGAAACACACACACACTACCTTCAGGTTCTCTCCTTCAAGAAGGTCCATGAAGCCATCATCCTCATCAGACAAAGTGGCAGTCACAGGGGACTGGGGCATAAAAAGAGGAATGAAATTCCCTGGCTCGCTGCTCTCTCTTTCATTCGAGGAAAGCTGGAAGACGAATTCACAGCTTGTTAATGATCAGACTTGATTTCCTTGGATGGGTCACTAGATTTTATGAGGAAAACATACTATATTTATTAGAACTAACATTTTGGCAGCTACTAAGCAAAGGATAACGTATCCTAAGATGAGAAATGATTTGATGTCTACACATAGTCCTGAGTAGAATCAGGCCTAGGAGCCTTCGCAAAAGACTCTTCCCAGAAGCGATTCACCTTACACTGGGATGTGGGGATGGCCTCTTTTATGAAGGGCAAGGTTTGTTTTATCAGAGGATTGTAATCAGTAAACACGGATCAACATGCAGGTTTTGATATAGTACTGTCACCTGATCCTAGTTCTTTAAACTTGGAATTCAAATGACAGGTGCTCAGGTTTTAACTGAGGAATTACTGTGTGCCAGACACAACGATACAATCTTAAGTGTTCACTCCCACTGACGCCTGACAACGCATTAAGGTGAGTTACTCCTTTTCTACTTATTTAACAAACCAGGAAACCAATGCTTAAGAGAGTTTACCCAGATCACACAGCTCACCTGTTTGACTCCAAAGCCCAAGCTTTTCTCCCCGCACATTCTCTGAGAACCATTCCGAGTAAAAATGGGGGTATCTCACTAGGCAACCCTGTTGTTTTTGGGGGAACCCTCCATCATAAAACTAATATATATTTAATATAGAAAATTTAGAAAAAACAACTCATAAATCTACCAGATAGAGATCAGCACTACTAATAACAAACATTGCTGATAGTGAATTATTTCTTTCCAGGTGCTTCCCAAAGCCAGGAAAAATGTTCAGAGATATATATTTTTTTCCCCACAGTAACAAGGCAGTCTCAACTTAAGTCCTACAAAGAATCCTTCAGAAGCCCGAAATCCCTTTGGATAGGACTTCATTAATCCTCAAGTGGCCTTCTGGTTTTTGGACTCAGTCACTCACCCACGGAGGGATCCTCTCTGCCCCTGGCCTACACTGCTTTGGGCACCAGCTTGCTTCATAAAAGTTCTAGGCTGCCCCTGAGCCTCCACAAGTGCTCCTGAGCACGCCCTGGGCACACCGGCAAGTTCTCAGCCGCCAGAACCAAGAAGCTGGTAACCTTATTGTGGGACAACACACTGAAGGCTCATACTATAATACCAGTATTTGTGACCTGGATTTTCTGGGATCCCCAGTGAAGGTGTGATACAATAAATGACGGACAAGTCATCTATAATGAAGGATGGCCAGGTGACCACAATAAACTCTGATGCTGTGGTCTTCAAGGGCACACTATTTCGTTTTGGATACCCTGTACTTAAAAAAAAAAAACTTTTTTTTTTAATGTTTATTTTTGAAGGAGAGAGAGACAGCGCGCGAGCAGGGGAGGGGCAGAGAGAGAGAGAGAGAGACACACAAAATCCGAAGCAGGCTCCAGGCTCTCAGCCATCAGCACAGAGCCCGATGCGGGGCTCGAACCCACAAACCGTGAGATCATGACCTGGGCCAAAGTCAGACGCCTAACTGACTGAGTCACCCAGGCACCCCATGGATACCTTGTACTTAAAGGGTTACCGTGTACTCAGGAATCAGGAGATTCTATTAAATCCTGGTCTTCTATTTATCGGTATCCTTTGGCAAATTACCCGACCTCCCTTAACAGACTTTCCCAATCTGTAAAATGGGCTAACTTCACCTACTTCACACGCTTAGGAAGATTAAGACAAAAACATATGTGAAAATGCTTTGTGCAAATGCTAGACAGAGCAGCAATACTGACTGAACGAACCTGAACTTCAGACCAAAAGCCAGACTGGAAAGCTGTATGCAAGTTCCCAGGAAAACCTGGAAACCAAATGTGGTCATTCTGCTCAAATTTCCTCTCTAGTCTATAGCTATCAGATTGCCAGTAGGGAACTTTGGAAGTAGTGACAGCTTCTGTTTGGCAAATAAGTAACCCTGGGGCAAGTGGTCCCAAATACTATCAAGTAGCCTATAGGCAGTGGGTTCATTGGAATCCATAATAGTTCATTTGAGAGACAGAGAGAGAGAGAGAGAGAGAGAGAGAGCGAGAGCAAGCAAGCAGGGGAGAGGGCAAAGGGAGAGAATCCCAAGGAGGCTCCATGCTCAGCAGAGCCTGATGTAGGGCTCAATCCCACACCCTTGGGATCATGACCTTAGCCAAAATCAAGAGCTGGACACTCAACCGACTGAGCCACCCAGGAGTCCCCATAATATTCTTAATAAACCACTTTTGGAAGAAGCCAAGTGCCATCTCCAGACAAAACCACTCTGGAAGCACTGTGAAAGAAAGTTTTAAGCCACATAATCCCACCGTACACACATACAGAAGAATGACCCAGGATGCCTGTAGATTATTTCCCTAGAACTGACAAGATCAAATATTCCTTGTTCAAGTTCAGTATTTCAAACATACCATCTTTCACTCTGCTTCTGCCTGTCTGCTCTCCAGACAGCAAAAACACCAAAGATGTGACAGTCTAGTTTCAAATGACAAAGACAAGAGCTCTAGTGTCTTTGACTCCAGGTTAAAGAGGGTGCTTTAATTCTTCCCCACCAGGAACTCCCCTGTGAAAGCCAAAGCACATACCATCCGAGCTGGGGCAGAGTTCTGCCTCTGTGTGAAGATATCTTTACCCTCCTCAAGTCCATGAGAGTGCAGGCAGCCACGAGATGCCGGTCTTATTGGCTTCTTAAACTCAAAGGCTTCCTGCAAGACAGCAGAGTCGATATATCTTCCCCTGTCCATGAAAACCAGGGTCTTAGCTGTAGCTTGGGTGAGACAGTCAAGGGAGTAGGCACTGCTCACCTTTGCAACTGCCTCCAAACTAAGGGTTTACCCATTTCTGAGCTAACTCCAACAATGGATCTGTGTCACTAAGAATTTCACAGACTGTCAACAGCTAACTTCTAAAGCAGCATTTTTTTCTCTCACCACAAAGACATAAATATCTGCCAAGTATACAAAACACTGAGTTAATAAGCCAAATCGAATCAACAACTTCCTAAAATCTAAAACGAAGTGTTTCAATATAATTGCCTGTGAGTGGGAGTCAAAACCTTTTACTCTTGGGGCACCTGGGTGGCTCAGTTGGTTAAGTGTCCGACTTCAGCTTAGGTCATGATCTCGCAGTTAATGAGTTTGAGCCCCACGTTGGGCTCTGTGCTGCCAGCACAGAGCCTGCTTCGGTCCTCTGTCCCCACCTCTCTCTGCACCTCCCCAGCTCGTGTGCAAGTGCACTCTCTCAAAAATAAACATTAAAAAATAAATTAAAAAATAAATAAAAATGCTTTAAAAAAAGCCCTTTTTACTCTAGATTTGAAGGCTTTGTGTTTTCCACCACCTTCCTACAAACATAATTCTTTTTCTTTCCACTTGTAATTATTGTACTTCATACTAAAAGCAATGGAAAATAAAAAAAACTGTTTCAGTCAACAACATAAATGAATTTCACATGTTCAATGAAAGCCAGAAGTGACAGAATACATTCTGTATGATTCCATTTACTTCAAGTTTAAAAGCACTTATAATCCCTCTACCCCAAAACAGTCACTTATTAAGTGCTCAGAGCAGTTAACAGCTAATATCAGAGTATTTACACACCAACACACCACAAAGTACTTTCTATGTATTAACTCATATAACCAGCAACTGCAACCCAATCACCCCATTTTACAGATGAGGAAACTAGACCTTACAGGTTAAGCGATGTGCCTAAGATCATGTGAATTCTTTAACTACCACCTATGTATGCTGTTTACTCCCCAGAACAAAGTTCCAAGCAGGCAACCCTGAGAAAAGCCAAGTTCAGGGGAAAACCAGGCATCAGTACAGCTTCAGTGTGTTCAGTAGAAAGCACTACTAGCCTTTTCCTGAGCTTACAACTCATCCCAGGGTGAGCACAAAGAGGCAAGGCCTGGACAGACCCTTCTAGATAAGCTATTCATGGATATAATTATTCCTAAGGGCTGCCATCTGAGCAACACCTCCCTGCCAGGAACCATTTTAAATACTTTATATACATTATCTTATTTAATTCCCATAATACGCTACAAGTTACTGCTACTCGTATTCAAAGAAAATGAAGAAGCCAAAAAAGAAGTAATGGGTCAAGGTCATACAGCTAGTAAGCAGGATTCAAATCCAAGTTTCTCTGACTACAAAGATGATGCATGACTTTGGTGAAGGTCTAGTCTCCCAGAAAGCAGCCCAGCCACTTTTTTGTAAGCCACTGACACTTGTGGCTTTACCTCTAGCCTAAGTTAGTACATCGATGCCACTCACGTTTTCCTTGTTCTCATCCTGGTCCATCAGCTGAAAGACATCATGGTCAAGAGAATCAGAATGACTCCTCTTCAGGGCTGGGCTACATCCCAAGAGCTTCTGCTGTCAAAATGAAAAAAGACATTAGGGCACATTAAATGAAAATTCAATGGAAATTCAGTTTCAAAAGAAAAAAAAGTGGTGGTGGAGGGGCTAAATCCTCACACACTGCAGGAGGAACCAAGAAATGTGGCCAGGGTTCCACTTTGCAGTAACATGGGGTAGAAGATCCCACTACATGGCTTTACACCTAACCTTACAAGGTAGGTCTCCAGCCCTTTCAGTAGAGATTGAGGTCCCAAAATATCATTTGCGTAAAAAGAATACTTCCTGGTATTCTTTTTGATAAATACTTTCCTGGTATTCATTTGATAGTAATAAATGAAGGGAAATGCCCATTACTGAGGCTGTTCAGGTAGGGTGTTTTGAGTACTTATGAGACGAAGGAAGAACAATCTTTGCTGTCTAAATTAAGATCACACTAACAGCTAAGATGAATGTCAATTAGCTAAAAATAAAAAAGGGAACTAACTTACAGGTAGGGAATTTATTCTCCTCATGGGATTTCCAAGGCTGTAATGAGATCAGAGGGTAAACAATGAGAATAAAACAAGAGAGGTATTCATATGAGCAGATGCAGTGTCTAGCCTATAGTTTGGGGAAGGGGGCAGACAATCACATTCCTATTTTAGGCAAGATGGAAGAACAGATTTCTGAAGCTGTCCCGTTCTCACAAGCGCCCCCAACATTGGGCTTCTAGGTAAAAAGAACAAGCCCAGGTCTTCTCTTAAAATACCCATGTTCTTTAAGGCTATGATGTCAGAGGGTGAATTAAGGATTTGGGGGAGACTTAAACACCAAAAATTACAGCTAAAATAAAGGAAAGGAAGTTTTAAAAACTGCTGACACAAACTACTCACTCTCTAAAGGCACCAGACTTATTTCTAACATGCAGAAGTCTTAGTAGGGTCAGCTAAATCCAAGGCTCCCATACAGAGCACAACGAATTTCATTAAAAAATTAAGAAAAGTCTTTCCTAACTAACTTTTACTTTCTTAACAAACTTTTAAAAGCAGTGAATACATACTTTTCTTTACTGTCCAAGGGCCCAGGAGAATCCAGACAGAAGCCTGTGGGAAATAACAAAATTTCTCAGGAAATAATACACAAAACACCATTTTGTCATTAAATAAACAAAAACACTACTAGTACTGTTTCTTTGAGCCATCACCCAAGACTCAGGGCTTGGACTTTTGGCAGAATCAAAGTGGCGTCTCTATTTGATTGTCAAAAACTTTCTATTTGCCCCAAGTCTTAACACTTCCACAGTAAACCTACCTATCTCATTTTCCTACTTACAAATACCATCAAGAGAGTAGGTGGGGAGAATTAAATACAACCTTCTAATGTTTGGTTGGTTGTTCAGATAGAGGTTGCCCACGTAACTTTGTTTCAACCGTGGAAAGAAGAGGTACCAGTTTTCTGGAAGTTTCGACTTCAAATATTTTATTTTGTCAGATCATACGTGTAATTCGGGGGTTTGGAAAAATACACTTCTCAGTCAGTCATATGACAAACAAGGCAAGTATTCATTGCCTTGAACAAAAGTACACCAAGCAAGGTGCCCATCTCACTGAAGGAAGCAAGGTGGCAAAGACGCTGCTCTCAGTATGCCCAGACCCACCAGTGCCTGCCTCTCATGATAGCCATGTAACTTTGCAGGAAGTCAAGTGCTAGTTCTGATATTCTCACTTGCCACACTGCCACAAGTAAGAATTCTATCCCTAGCTCCTGGGGCACCTCGGTGGCTCAGTCCAACTCTTGGTTTGAGGTCAGGTCACGATCTCGCGCCGTTCGTGAGTTCAAGCCCCGCATCGGGCTCCAGGCTGACAGTATGGAGCCTGCTTGGGACTCTCTCTCTCTGCCCCTCCCCCCCACTCCCTCTGTCTCTCTCTCAAAATAAATAAATAAACTTAAAACAGAAAAGAATCCTCTCCCTAGTTCCTAAGAAGCCTACATTTTAAGAACTTTGCTCTTGCAGTTCCCTAACCTAAAGCATCTGTGTAACTATAAAACGCTGCAGTAACATAAGTTTACGAGTTAGAATAAAATGCACCAGCACATTTCCTCCATAGCAGGCTCACTGAAACAGTTTCATTATACTTCCAATAATTTGACCCTGCATTTCAACCAATACAATTTTCTGATCTTGGTGTTATGGTTCTTGGTATGCAACTACTTTACTCACACATCCTCAAGATCAAGCACACACCACCTCCTTGCAGACACTTGTTTCCCACCGTTGTAAACTACCACAGGGCCTTCTTTGTCCTGCTTTAAGAGTGTTTGTCACTGAATGCCATGACTTTTGTTTATGGTCTGAACTAGTCCCCAATCTAAGTTCTAGGTGAAGCACATATTTCAACAAATTCCAAGTATTGATCCCTACGTGATGAATGTTGAAGACTAAAGGGATACCTGAATCGGTTGACTCAGAGGAGCCCATTCTCTGCAGACTGCCGTTTCTCACCTCCAGCGGCTGTTCACACTCACTGAAAGCAAGAGAAATAACTCTATTTCTAAAACATAATTACAAGGTTACATACAGGAAACAGGCCATGAGGTTGGCAAGTATCCAGGCTAATAACCATCTTGTTCTAGGCCACACCACAGACCCCCACTTTGCCACCCAAAACACCCAGTTAGCACTTGAATATAAATGATGAGAAAGGAGTGAGTAGGCATGGCCTGGGTCACATTGTAGACAAGATGACTATGATGTTGGAATATTTCCTGAAGTGAGAGCATGCGTTCTAGGTACGGTGCTGGGAGCAGGGATGAAAGATCAATTGGACAAGTTACTGCTTTTCAGAGGTTGGAAAACGTACAAGACGTGTGCTTACAGAGAAAAATGGGATGTCCAAAACTGAAGTGAAAGCAGCTCCACCAGAAACATCGTGGGATGCACGTTTTGCTAACAAGGAAAAGTCCAGGGAGCTTTTGAGGATGGAAACAGGAGTAAAAATGCCCGGCCTTAAGAACGCATGGGTCGACAGCAGGAATGTGCATGGGGTGCAGCATTGGGGGGATTTTGCACGTAGGCCAAGTAAGAAAACGCCATGTCTCTCTGTAGAGAAGGAACAAAGCTCACAGGAAGCCAAGATCCTGCGAGGTAGCTCAGCAAAGGGTGGAAGTGAGCGCCTGAAAGGGTCTGCTTTGCCCCCGTGGGGGTAGATTTCAAAGAGCTTCCCGAGATTGGGACAGAAGAGTACAAGGCAATCCGAAAGGGGTGGCCAAGCTGGGGAACCCGGGCCGACCCCACCCCCTACCGGGTCCGGCTCGGGGCTGAGGGCGGCCCTGGAGGGTCCGAACGGCCTCTCCCGCCCAACATTCCGCCTGGGGGAGGGTGCACATGGCGGGCCCCAGCTCAGCGGGGCGGCCCACGAGCGGCGGACAGGTCTCGCCCCTCTCTGGGCCCGTTTCCCGGCCTGATCCCCCCGAGAGCCGTCTGGGAGCCCAGCGGTCTGCGGCAGAGCTCCCCAGTCTCTTCTCACCTGCCCAGCCCCTGCAGCTGGTCCATGGTGACCGTCAAGTTGGTGACAGGCGACAGGCCGCCGCAGGCTGGCGCGCCGAACAGCGCTTTCACGACTGGCTGCGGCGTGGGAGGGGGACTGCAGGCGAAGAGCAGGCGACGGCGGTGCGGGGGCTCCGGGCCCAGTTCCATGGCGGCACCCGGCCTCCCAGGGCTCCCCCTCCCTCTTCCTCCGCCTCCGCCGCGCCCGCCCCGCCCCGCCGACACCGGCCTCGTCCGCGCGGCCCGCCGCGGGCGCCCGCGGGTCAAACACAAACACGACCCCGCGGTTCAGGGACGCTACTGCCGCGGGTAAGCGGCGCGGACGGGAGGGTGTCTGGACCCGGCAGGCGCCAGTCACATGCACGGGTGCTTCCCCCGCACCCCCGCGAGGCCGGCGGGCGGGCGGGCGCCGGCAACCTGAAGATTAAATCCAAACAAACACCGCGGGTCGGGAAGGGAAAGCGGCCAGAGCCGCGAGGCAACGGCCAGGGTTCACACTTTCTTCGCTTTCCTCTCACCCCCTTGTCCAAACCGGGGTCATAGAGCACCAAGCGGACCTTCACCTCCCTTCCGGACTGTCGCTGCGAGGAAAGCCTTTCGCGGTAATAGCTGCTCACTAGGGACCGCAGCTGCCCCGCCCCCCTTTCCTAGTTGGCGCCAAACGGAATCCACCAATCAGTAAGCAACTTCTCCTCCTCGCTCCCGAATGGCAGCTAAGCTGGACCAATGAGAGGGGAAGAAGGAAGGAGCTCGCGGGGCTCTGCGAGGTCACCCGCTCTCCGAAAGGGGCGGGGCCTAGAGGAGACCGGAGCCGATCCTAATGAGAGGGGGCTCAGAGGTCAATGAAAACTCCCAGCGGAACCTGCGAGGCGCGGAAAGCGCCGAGAGGCCCCTCTTGCCCCGTTGCATTCTGGGAAGCGTAGTTCCCACCCCGCGCTGGGATCCAGGCACCTCCTACGGGCTTCGGCACAAGGCCGGTAGTTCCGGCCCCGGCACCCCGCATACCGAAGGGACGCGCGGTTTGGATAGAGCCGTCCTGGCCACTGGAGGCCAGACCGGGCCCAGCCTCGGCTCTACCTATAACAACGGTACTGTGAGCTCTTCTCTTCAGCCCCCGGCCTCCAGGTCCCAATTTTGTAACGAGGGCAGGAAATGAATGTCCCAAGACTGGACTCTGCCTCCCCGAACTCCAGGCCCAGACAACGAAGCGCTAGCGCTCCAGTGCAGCAGATTGTTAGAGCCCCTGCGCGCAGTGCTGGCCACAAAGTGACCATACAAGACTTGAACCCCACAGTACAGGCTGCGGGACTCAGCATGCTTTGCTCACCTCCATTTTAAGCTCGTACTGTATTTTTCCAGAATCAAATCCTTCTTCTCTACCCTTTCTTACCCTATTGGGAGCTCCTGATAGCAATGCCGTAAATATAATAACAGCTAACACTTACATAGTGCTTCTGTGCCAGACACTGTCCCAAGAGTTTTATCGGTATTAATTCATTTAATCCTTTCAACTCTGAGGGAGGAATTGTCCCCATTTTATAGGTGACCATATTTATTTTTATATCCCCTGCATCAGTGGCAGGTCCTAGAATGAATGATTTTATAAGAGGGCCATAGGTACAGTGATCAGGCTGCAAAGAGAACTTGTCTGTAGACAGCATGTTCAGAGCCAACGCTCTGCTTTACACTGTATATTTAATTTAGGTGTCTGGCGGAGATTATGACCCTTACCTCTGCTTAGGGCCAACCATTAAATTCATTAAATGAAGTGGTTTGTTTTTTTTCTTTTTTAAAAGTTTATTTTTATTTTTTTTATTTTTAAAAAATTTTTTTTCAACGTTTATTTATTTTTGGGACAGAGAGAGACAGAGCATGAATGGGGGAGGGGCAGAGAGAGAGGGAGACACAGAATGGGAAACAGGCTCCAGGCTCTGAGCCATCAGCCCCAGAGCCTGACGCAGGGCTCGAACTCAAGGACCACGAGATCGTGACCTGGCTGAAGTCGGACGCTTAACCGACTGCGCCACCCAGGCGCCCCTAAAAGTTTATTTTGAGAGGGCTAGAGTGTGAGCAGGGGAGGGGCAGAGAGAGGGATTGTCAGCGTTGTCAGCACAGAGCTGGACTGACAAGGGGCTCTAACTCTTGAAACTGTAAGATCATGACCTGAGCCAAAATCAAGAGTCAGATGCTCAACCCACTGATCCACACAGGCATCCCTAAATTGTTTCTTTAAAAAGCTTTTGCTTTCAAAGATTTGTACTATACAAATAATACAAAATAACTGTAGCCTTAGAAAATACAGATAGCACAATTTATTTTTTATTTATTTATTTATTTATTTATTTATTTA